TAAATCGTCCTATGATGCTACCTCATATGGAAGATGATGAGGATGAAGAAATGGAAATTGTTGAGGAAGCTGAGCAAGTTCTTTTGGAAGCCACTGAAGCTTGCAAAAATATGGAAACAGGTAGATGTTATCATGTGAAAATTGAAATCCAGTTTTCAACCTTTCTTTATTGTTTACACTTTTAATCCATCTCCATGAAAACTAATTCAAGTCAAATTCATAAACAGGTCTTACAGAAGAGACTTCTGAACAAGTTGACAAGTCTGAATTAGTTATTACAACTGCTAATGATAATGAAGAAAATGACACATTTACCACTTCTACCCTTACAATACTACCATCTGAAGTTTCCCCAATCCTCAAGTGTCCAACTCCAAGTGTTTCACCAACAGTTACTAGTAGCAGCAGGAAAAGTTTAAGGACTTCTTCAACATTTACTGCTTCCCAAAATGCCCTTGCAAACAATATTTCTGAATCTATCATGCTTTCACATAAACAGAGTAGTGCTTTTGGACAAACGGATCGTTTGGCTGCTAGTCTGCATCATGGGCTTGAAGTTTTAGATAAAAATAGAAAAAGTTTTGCTTTAGGGCGTTCATCATTCAGGTTTCCATGTAAACCAGTTCAAAAAGATGTTGGTGTTCAAACTTTTTCTCTAGAGAACGTGTTATCTGAAGAGAAAGAGAAATCCATGGAGTATTTGTGCAACAATTGCAAGAGTAAAACATCTGAATTAGTAGAAGATAAAGATACACATGAACATGATACTTCAAATCTGCAGATGGTTCCTGTTGATGGCTCACAATTGGTTGATAAATCCAAGCAGCTAGTTCCAAAAGTAATATTTTTTTAACAGAAAAAAATTATTTATTCATTTTGTTTTGAGATTAATTCACGGTGTAACATTCTTGTAGGCAGTGGAAAAAGTCTTGGCTGGAGCTATAAGGAGAGAAATGGCTTTAGAAGAGTTCTGCACTAAACAACACAATGAGATTATGCAACTTAATCGTCTGGTATTATGCTTGTTTTCAGTTCCCTCAATGCCAATATGAAATTACTTTTTTACCCTTTAACCATTTTCATACCATCACAGGTGCAACAGTATAAACATGAACGCGAGTGCAATTCGATTATTGGGCAACTGCAAGAAGACAAAATCACCCGTCTTGAGAACTTAATGGATGGAGTTTTGTCTGCTGAGGAGTTTGTAAATGAAGAATTGACATCTTTAGCAAATGAACATCAAGTATGCATACGCCTTCCAGATTTTCTCAACTTTCTATGGCTTATTCATATTTACTATTTCAAAAATTTCATGCTTCTTTTTTTACATGTGGTACAGATTCTGAAGGAGAAATACGAGAATCATCCGGAAACTTTAAGGAAAGAAATCGAGTTGAAAAGAATACAAGATGAATTGGAACGTTATAGGAGCTTCTTTGATATGGGAGAGAGGGATGTGTTAATGGAAGAGATACAATATTTAAGGAGTCAACTTCAATCTTATGTAGACTCTTCACCAAAATTCTCTAAAACACAAACTCCTGTTTTACAAATAACATATCCATCTGAAACCAACGAATCCCCTTCTTTATCCACAATCCCAGAGTCAACTGATGAACACAGATTTGAATCAGAGAGAATCCGATTCCATGAAGAAGAAAGCAAATGGATTTCTCTTACACAAGAGTTGAAAAGTCAACTAGAAGCCAACCGATTGCTTGCTGAAAAGCAAAAACAAGAAGTTGAAACAGAAAGAAAATGTTCACAAGAGCTTAAAGAAGCAATGCAAATGGCAATGGAGGGTCATGCAAGAATGCTTGAACAGTATGCTGATTTAGAGGAGAGACATATGAACATGCTAATAAGGCAACGAAGAATTCAAGATGGAATTGAAGATGTGAAGAAAGCAGCTACAAAAGCTGGAGTAAGGGGTAATGAATCAAAATTTATAAATGCCCTTGCTGCTGAAATTTCAACCCTAAAGGTGGAAAGAGAAAGGGAGAGAGGGCGTTTTAGGGATGAAATTAAAGGGCTTCAAGAACAATTGAGGGATACTGCTGATGCTGTACAGGCTGCTGGTGAATTACTTGTGAGACTCAAAGAAGCAGAAGAAGCTGTTGCTTTTGCAGAGGTCAGTTTCTCTGTTATCTATTTTTTTTTTCTTTACAAAAACAAAAATTTTAATTTCATCAATCATAAATGATGCTATGTGATTACTTAATGTTATATGTCAAAAGAAGGTATAGTTCTCCAGCTATTCTATATACTATTTACAAAACAAAAAAAGCCCTTAAAGAAAGCTCATTATATGAGATTCTAATAAAAAATATTCTTTAGAAAATAAATTTATAATCTAATTAATATCATGAAGTTGATAAAAAAGATTTGTGTCATTAAAAACTGACACATTCTAACATATGCAGGCACGTGCGAGAGATGCAGAAGAAGAAACACAGAATGCCTACAAACACATTGAAAAACTCAAGAAAAAACACAAGAATGATACACCAATATACAATCTACAGGAGTCAAACATCAAAGTTGACCAACAAAAACAACCCAGAGATGAGTTTGACCAATTCTATAATGTGGAAAAAGAAGAGTTGACCACATTACCAGAGTTCTCTGGATACGATAGATGCAACATATAAGTACAAAAATTTGTTATCAACATTTATTTTGTACAATACATAAATTCTTTTTTCAAGCATATTCCATTTGAAATATTTAACCACAATAATGTCTACTCTTTTTTCAAGCCTCCATTGAGTTTGTAGGGTCTTTGTTGTAGAAAGACAAAGGGTGGTTAGATGTCATAATTGAAAAAAGAAATAGCAATGTAGTTTGATACAATGTGGGATCATTTTGTCAATTGGATAGGGGGCAAAATTAAAAAAAAGAAAAAGCATAATTTAGACATGGAGTTGACAAGTACCATTCTTTGGAGCCCCCTGAATATTGTTGTATGGTGAGTGTAGATTTTATGTGAATAGAGACCATTAAACAAGTAGCTTGTGGTATTGTCTTCTTTGAAATGTATATCTCCCCTACTTGTGGACCACTTAAGGGTATATCATATATCATATACATGTAAAATATTTAATGGACCAAAAGATAGGAACACAACAAAGTAGATAACATTCCTTGCCTAGCCTTACATTATCTAATGAAGAGATAGATAATAATCGACATTCATTTCTTTATTATATTTTTCTTTATAGCAAGATTGGGATGTTTAAAAAGAACATCAAGACAAGGAATGGGCCATGATGGTGACATCAAGAAAGTAATGTGTCTAGGATTGATGATAGTTATATTCCACCAAAGATGATTTTGATTTTGATTTTGATTTTGTATTGTCAAAACTAAATTGGTATTGGAAATTATGGTACGACATGTTCATGATAATAACAAGGTAAAGAGGTACCGTTTACGTGATTTAACAGTTTATAAGACTTTGTGAATTTTGTACTGCGTATTGAAAAAGAAGGCATCATGTGTTGGAAAAGAATCAAATCTTGGAATGGACAAATCGAAGAAGTCTTAACTTGTTGTGTAACAATTGTTTTATATGCTAGAGAGTGTTTGATTCACAAAATGTTTTTTTATTGATATATAATATGCCAAAAAAATTTGAATTCAAGTGTTCGCATATGAAGAAATTTTATTGTGCCGTGTGTTTTGCTAGCTAAATATAGAGCCAAATTCAATAATAATAATAATGGGATAATTTTAAATTGGGAAAATGACTTCCCAAGGTAACCATCTTTGTCGCTTTGTTTACATTTAGGTAACTTCTTTATTTTTGTACACATTTGACCATTTAACTTGTTATATGTGTTCACATATTGTCATTGTCACCGACTATAGCAGGTGACAATGGTAATATGTGAATAAATCAACAAGTTAAATGGTTAAATGGGTATAAAAAAGAAAACTGTCTAAATGTGAACAAAACGAAAAGTTAATTACCCCGATAAGTCATTTTACCTACTTTTAATAGCGATTTTATTTTTCAAATTTGTTTGTATTATTTTTTTCAAACGTTATTTTTATAATATCCATAATTTTCTAAATATTAGTTAAATATTTATCAATTTTAAGCTTTACTTTTTAATCAATAAATATGTTTTTGTTTTGTGAAATACTTTATATAGCCTCTTATATTTTTTTTCTTTTGTTTTGAAGCATATACAATATTTTTAAAGTAAATAGTATCTAACAATAAAATTAAATACATTAAATATGTAACAATAAGTATGGAGCGTCTTTTAAAAAAATAAAAAGAAAATATTACTTACCAAATAAAAAAACAAAAAAATCTATATAATGTAAATGTTTTAAAATTATTCAAACTTTTTAATACTTTTTAATTAGAAGTTTATAAACTTTTAATTTTTTTAATACAATGTTTTAAACTAGTATTTTAACGAAAGTATTTTAAAATGTTATAAAAAATATTAAATTGTCATACAAAATCTGTGAAACACTTTAAAAATGTTGTAAAAAAATTTAGAAATAAATGTATGAAAGTTATAAAAAAGTTGTATGAAAATGTAAAAAAACATGTTAAGAACTTGTAAGAAAAATTTAAAACATTTATAAAATATTTAGTTTAAAAGCACTTGAATTAAACTGAAATGAAAGTATAAAAAAATTGAAAAAAGTTATAAGCAAAGTTTAAAACATTGTATTAGAAAAACCTATAAGAAAAACAAATATCATAAAAATGTTGTAAGAAATTTGTTAAAAAAAAATTGTTCACATTTAGACAACTTTCTTTTTTTGTACACATTTGACAATTTAACTTGTTAAATATGTTCACATATTACCATTGTAACATGCTATAGCGGGTTACAATGGTAATATGTGAATATATTTAACAAGTTAAATGGTCAAATGTGTAATAAAAAAATTAAGTTACCTAAACATGAACAAAACGAAAAGGTAATTACCCTCGCAGGTCATTTTACCTTTTAAATCACTTGGGTTGTTTCCTTCTTTTTTCATTTATTAAGTTTTTATATGAATAAAATGGACCCGATAAATAATACTGTATGTCTTGATAAAATATTGTATCGAAAGAGTTTGATAAAA